AATAATAAACTAACACCTGAAAACAATATTCCTTACTATAATAAATATGGACTAAATATATATGGATGTGTTAATAATATATCCATTGTGCTCTCTTAAAGAAGGACGATACATTATATGGTAACTATTATTTACTACCAGTAATAGTCAGTAGCCCATCCCGATTATTATTAAATTATTAATGGTTATAGGATTAGTAGAAGGCGGAAATGACGACATTCCGGAAGTTGACATCTAGGCGACATTCTTGTCATCTTGGGTGTCCCAGTGTAATTAAAGCAATACCTCCTCATTTATTGTGTCTTCCATATCTCTATTATATTTATCTGGATATAAGTTAGTTGTGTATATATATGCAGAGAACACATTCCAATAACTAAAGTTTTTTAATTATTTTCTATAAATATCATTTAGAGATTGCCAAAATACAAAACTATTTTAGACGCGTATTATTTTTTTTAAATAAAACAATTTCTACTGCCCTTACTGCAATGGAAAAATTAATGGGAGGTCCTGGCTCATCAGTGATAAACCCTCCCAGCGGTTTCGCCAGTTTAATCTACCATACCGCTGTTATATTGCATTTTTGGAACTTCCTTTTATAGTGATACTGATGCTAGACTCTCCGAATGGGTATTTTAGATGAACTATGGACATAAGCTTTGAGGACAGCAGATTGTACATAGATATATATATATTAGATATTGTACATGGATATTATATATTGTACATGTATATATACATACATATCAGCCCGTTGAAGAGCAGTATAATTGCTCGAAAGCTTGCAAATATAAAATTAAAATAAAGTTTTTACCTGATATTTATTTTTACTTTTTCAAATATTCAGAGTTTTTCTATATATATATATACTATTTATTAATCGTTTTATATGTAAATAGATATATATGGTGTCAAGTTTATTCGTTCGATGATTGGTTCAATTATTTGGCCTTCTAAATATTTTAGAGAACCTCACTCTTTTTCCATTTTTCATACACACAGTATAATAATGGATTTCCAAAGCATTAGCATTTACTACAATCAATCTCTAGACATTTGGCTTTACTATAAAACATTCTAATACAGTTTATGTTATAAATGTATACGTATATATATTTTTTGAAAATAGAGCAATCCATACTTATTGGCCGAAATATTGGCAAAATAAACACAATATGAAAAAACAATAAAAAAATAAAAATAAAAAGGCATATCCTGACCAGGAACACATGTGCTGTTCAGAAGGCAGAGCGCTATCTGGTGGAACAGAAATCAACTATTCATTGATTTAACTTGTTCCCTGATATTTTGTCAACCCAATTTCTTGATAAATCAAGAAAAGCCATCCACGAACGTGTTTCGCATTGTTGGCTCTCGTCAGCGTGTAGTAGTCTGTACCACTGCGACCAAAAATATTTTTGGTCCCAGTGGCTTCCTGAAAAACCAAGAAATGGGTATTTAAGGCCAAACTTGCGTAACTACGCTTAACACATAACAGAAAGGTATATATGGTGTCAAGTTCATTTGTTCACTGATTGATTCAATACTTTCACATGACATTAACCAGCCAATCTGAAACTGTGTAAATCATTCATGTAGTCAAATCAATCATTAAATTAATAATGTTAATCAAAGAAGATATTCAATATTTGGTTTTTCTTTCATAGAATTATTTTTGAAAGAAAAAAATATCTTCATTATATAAGAAATGAACAGTTAAAACACCTTCAATGAATAAAAATAAATAAATCAAGATTGTCCCAAAAGTTCATAAACATTTGCAAAAAAAATTGAAATACCAATATTATTCGCCGTTATGTATGTCTTTGTATTATGTATAAAATAATTGTATTATGTATTATTTATGCCTAACTGGCCTTGTCTTTATTGTTTACGGAAGAGCATTGCTCGATGCAAATATTTGAATGTAATTCTACTGTCCTAGAAGCTTATGTCCATAATTTTCTTTAAAACCATTTCTGAGATTCCATCCTTCAGTGCTGCGTATAAAAGCAGAATCGTCCAATACAGTATTAGAGCTCTGAAAAGTGGTCTGGTGGATTAAATTGGCAAAACCGCTGGGAAGGTTCACCACTGATGAGCCAAGCCCTCCCAATATATTTTTTTCATCGCAGTAAGGGCAGTAGAAGTTTGTATTATGTATAAAAGAAAAATTCGTGCTTTTAAATCCTTTCATTTTATATGTATAGATGGCGCGTTATTGCTTTGTGTTAATTATTGTGTATTATCCGTAATAATATTATTCGCCAAGTAATAAGATAAACAACGTTTTAAGATAAACAGGAACCTTTGGGACAACCTTATATATATATGCGCTCAAAACACCTTTATAAATATTAAAATTGTTGCTTTTCTGAACGAAATATCTCTATTGATATTGACAATTTCAATTTTCAACGCACACACATTATCATACTAATATTATATTTAGAAAAAAAAACAATTTTCAATGATTGGATTTATATCAACTAATGATTTTATTAATTTATCAATGTCTAGAAGTCTGAAAACAACAGAATTTAATGTAATTTTTGTTCATTTACTTTTCTAGCTCGAGGCCCAATTTTTAAAGTCAGCGATGTGGAAGAGTTAAGAAAGTTGGCCATCAACTCTTGTTACATTTTATTTTTACTTGCGTCAAGCTGGTAATTTTTTTAACAAGATCATTTCTTATAAATGGCTGAAGTGGTAACATATACCCTTTTGTGTTGGTATTGTAAATATATATATGTATTTTTATATTAAAATATTATTTTATTTATATAAATTTTATTTCATAGATACAAATACTCTGTTAAATCGACCGCCAGAGGTCACGCTTCCCCTATAAAAACTCATTGTTGTAGTTTCCCGATGGCCGGCTCAAACCTTTTGTACATTATGTAAATAAGTTTTTCATTTTTTTTATTCTTAAGTCAGGCATACCTTTCTCAAATTATGTTTTCTATATTCCATAATCTCAATTAAAGCTATTTCTAATCTTCACTATTTTTATTATTATAGTTTCAAGATTTTAACCACGACTGTATTACCATAGCATAATCCTCAAGATGATCGAAAATCAACAGAAATCTCTTTTTTTATATAACCTATATATTGGATTTTCTACACTTAGTAACGTGAATGTGGTAGTTATAATATTAATATTTGTTCATTTATAGCCTAGAACATTTTAATAAATTAAGAAAACGACATCTACTTATCGTACAACTGAAAGTTTCTGATGGCTTGCGCCATCTGTCGGAATAAATATCAACTATTCTTTGATTATTTTTATTCCAGAATTGGCCAAATTACCATTCTTGACTAATCACACACACACACAAAAGCCTTCATTAAGACACACTGGTCTTATAAAGGATTCTCCCCGAGATTACAAGAGAGATAGGCCTGTGAAAGTGGGGAATATACAGAAGAAGTAAAAGAAAGATTATGTAAGTATGATATATACATACACATACATATATATTCAACAAAATCCCCCATTAAGACCCAAAGTCTTACAAAAGACTCGACTGCAGAATCCAAGAAGCAAAGTAAGAAAGAGATAAAGAAGTGAACAAAAATATTTTCAAAAATAATATATATACACATATATACATATTCACTCAATTCGAAGTAACAGTAACGTGCCTTTTTATTCACTGCCTTGTAAAACCCACATAGATCCAGTGAAAACTTTCTATCTGTTATGTAGTTTGTTAAGATATCCTCAACTGTGTCCGGGAATCTATTATCCTGTTTCGGAATAAATTTTTTCTTTCATCTGAAATACTTGTACAGTGGAAAAAATAGTGAGATATTTCGGAGTTCATTTTCTGCTTACAGAGCTTACATAACAGTTCCGCTTCTCCGAAAATGTTCTTGTGATTTTCCCGGAAGAATGTGTAAAGTACTCGCAGTTGGGCAATGTGTCGTTTAACAATGAATGGAAGATTGTCCGACAGATATCCTTCAGGAAGAGATGTTTTCTTCAGGTTTCTATAGCGAGGATATAGTTTTGTATTATTGATTCTCGCCCAGTCATCGTGTATGGATTGGTCTATTGCTGTTCTAGTAATCAGTGGCAGTTCATGTTGAAGAAAGTCCTTATCGGTGCAATTAATCAGATAAGAAAAACCAGTGGAATTCAGAATGTCATTAATGGTTTTAACAAGACCTATGTGGATATTTGAATTTCGGGACAAATTCATTAGTTCAGTTAAGCATATAGATGGTAATCGGTTAGCTTCCATATTGAGGATTCTGATCCAGTATTTCACTGTAAGTTTTATGGAGGTGAATGCAAGAGAAGTTCGTCCACGCTCCATTCGAAGGATATATCCTGGGGTATACCTGGGCAGGTTCAAAAGCCGACGCAGGAAAACATCCTGAGTCTTGTCCAGTATCTCTTTGATCACAAGCCCAGATCGGAGCTGCGTATAGGAGTACCGCTACAACCATTGAGTCCAATAGCCTTAAAGGTGCCCGAAGGGAGTTAACTTTAGTCTTAGTCATGACTGTCCACACCGCACTTATTGCAGACAGTACCTTACCCTGGAAATGCTTGACAACTTATGCATATGAAGTCGTTGTTGACAAAGGATAGCCAAGATAATTGTACTTTGATGTAATAGCCAGTGGTCTTTCGCCCCAGAACCATTTGTCAGATATTGCGAGTCGACCTCCATTGCGAAAACCCATTATTTTAGACTTATTTCCATCAAGTATTAAATAGTTTGTTTCGAGGTATTTCTTTAATATATTAATCTTGGTTTAAAATACAATATATATAACGCGGCTGATGATTGTAAAACGAAAATTGAAATTATACCGCGAATGTTTCTTTTATAAAAATCGAAATTTATTTTCAAAGAGAAATAGCGACATTTCTATCTTTGAGGATGAGGTATGGAAAGGTGAACATGAAGAGTAATGGCGAACGGAAAAATAAAAAGTGTCCAGGGGCGGGAATCGAACCCACACCCTTCTGCTTACCGGGCAGTGGACAAGGAGTGGACAAGGCACCTGCCCGGTAAGCAGAAGGGTGTGGGTTCGATTCCCGCCCCTGGACACTTTTTATTTTTCCGTTCGCCATTACTCTTCATGTTCACCTTTCCATACCTCATCCTCAAAGATAGAAATGTCGCTATTTCTTTTTGAAAATAAATTTCGATTTTTATAAAAGAAACATTCGCGGTATAATTTCAATTCTCGTTTTAATCTTGGTTTGCAGATTTATTTTAGACTCCCCCAAGAGAACGATGTCATCAGCATACTAAAGCAGGTGGACCTCTCCAAAACCCGGAAGGCAAATACCCGGTAAATCAGAGCCGTTATACGTGCTGATTAGATCGTTAATAAATAAGATAAAAAGATATGGAGACAAACATACACATACATATCTATTCCGGCAGATGGCGAAAGCCATCAGCGACATTCAATTTCACGATAGGTAGATGCCTTTTTCTTAATTTATCCACATCATCCCATTATACACTGCGTGACATTGAAAATGGAACACCAAGAATTAGTGGCCAGAAAATTATGCAAATTTCAGGGTAGACGCGCCTAACCGAGTTATGCAAATGATGTAAAATGCGCAGCTCTCGTGCGCACATGGAGTAAGATATAAGGGAAGGAACTTGCAGAAAGGACAGTATTCGTGTCGTTATTTCTTCAAGGAAAATCATTGTAGAAATTTTGTTCTTGTGTCAAAAGACACGTGTAATAACAGAGAATGCCAGGTCATCGTGAACGGAGGCAGTTCAAGCAGACAGACGCTTTTACGAGGGGCATGGTGATCGGACTGAAAAGGGCAGGTTGGTCCATACGTCAAATCGCAGCTGATACACACCTTGGTGCGTCCACGGTGCACCGACTGTGGAGAAGATGGTTGGAACAAGGAAATGTGGCAATTTATAGGAATGCCGGTGCAACCAGAGTGACGTCAGCACGTGTGGATCGGCGTATCCTTCGACAAGCAGTGGCGGCCCCACAAGCCACTTGTACCGCCATCCTGAAACATGTACAAGACACCCTAGATCATTCCATCTCGACTAGAACCATTTCCCGTCGATTGGTTGCTAATGGCTTGCACTCATGCCGTCCGCTAAGAAGACTGCCATTGACCCCACCGAATAGGCGCCAACGTTTGGAATGGTGCCGGGCTAGATCGACGTGGATGACGGAATGGCACAGGGTCGTGTTCTCAGATGAGTCGCGTTTCTGCTTGTCCAGTGATAGTTGCCGTGTACGCGTGTGGCGTCGACGTGGAGAAAGGTCCAATCCGGCAGCAATTGTGGAACGCCCCACCGTGCGACAACGTGGAATCATGGTTTGGGGCGCAATCGCGTATGATTCCAGGTCACCTTTACTTCGTATTCAGGGCACTATGACGGCCCAACGATACGTTGATGATGTGCTGCGACCGGTGACACTCCCCTACCTTCAGGGGGTACCCAATGCCCTTTATCAGCAGGATAACGCCCGACCGCACACTGCTCGCATTAGCCAACAAGCTCTGCAAGATGTACAGAGGCTTCCCTGGCCACCGTACTCTCCTGATCTCTCACCAATCGAGCACGTCTGGGACATCATTGGACGCCGTTTGCATGCCTTGCCACAGCCGCGTTCAGAAGACGAACTGTGGCAAATGGTTGAGAGGGAATAGAGAGCCATCCCTCAGGACGCCATCCGTACTCTGATTGACTCTCTACCTAGACGTGTTGCTGCGTGCATCGCCGTCCGCGGTGGTCCTACTTGCTACTAAGCCGACGCCGTTCTCGCTCTGTATTATGACTATCATTTTGAAATAAAGATCACTTATTGTTCGTCCCTGTCTCTCTCTGTCTGCCGAGTATCATCACTTTCTGGCCACTATTTCTTGGTGTTCCATTTTCAATGTCACGCAGTGTAAATTCACATTTATACTATTTTTTCACTTTTTAACATATGTTAAATATATTTTGAAATCGATGCAAAGTTTTGTGTATCAAACTGTGTACAAGGCAACCATATTTATGTCAAGAAAATTAACTAAACATAGCACAAACTTAATTTTCGAATAAATTATTATCAGGGATATATTTAATTTTAAAGAGTTTGACAGAAATCAATTTTAAAATATCGTTGATACGTATATGTAATAGTTTATCTTTGTTAAAATCATATGCTAAGTGTTTTAATATATTCCATATTACTTATATATATAGTTAAATTAGTGAATTGAGGTTTTAAAGAAATGCTTTCATGTTCTTAAAACAACTACTAATAAGCAAATTTTAAATATTGACGCAATTCAAACAGTATAGGAGAACAAATTCCCAGTTTAGGTATGTTCAAATTATATAATTTATTGTCCTTCAAATTGTGACACCATTACAGATAGTATCTTTTGAGATACTAATAAGCAAAAGATAAAGAAATCGACGCCAATCAACAGGATTGAAAAAACAAAATTTTCCCAATGGAGTAATGTGGCAACCCGCCCTGAAAATGTATTGGAGTGTATTTCTTATATGTTTGCACTTTGGAGGAAGTATCTGTAAAGGTTCGTAAGAACGGTAGAAATGTATACAAATCGCTGCCATCTGGAAATTTGTTTCTGAAACAAAATTCATAACTATAAGTCAGTTAGGGGTTCAATTAGGTATAAGAAATTAAAACGTCTATTTTAACCTATATTTTTCTCTTTTTTTTTAATAAGACAACTTTCCACTGTTTTTCTTGTGATTGAAAAATATATTGGGACGGTCTGGCTTATCAGTGGTGAACCTCCCAAGCGGTTTCGCTAATTCTACCTTTTAAGGAAAGTGAAAAATTGTTTCATTGGAAAAAAGTATTTTCAAAGCATCTTTATTCTCTAGATTTCGGACACGGACGCCCTTCTACACTTATACTTATAAATAGGTACTATTTAAATTAGCGGTACTATAAATATAGACTAATTCTGGAAATATTTGGATCAATGAAAATCTTCATTCTAAAGCTTTTCTCAGTTTAATCTCTGAAGAGATTATAGATATATTAAATAGGGATACTATTAAAATTAGTGAGACTATGTTAAAATAATATATTTGACTATATCATAATTTATATATAAATTTATCAAACTGATAGAGAGATATATATATATATTTCTAGCACCGTTATTTCTTACAAATATATGATAACACGAGTGTCTTATTCCAAAAATTTCCAATTTACATAATTTATTTACATAATATATGCATATTTCATGAGATACACACCCCTATTTATCAATTATTTATTCAATTATCATTAATGGGGATTCCATCATGGATATATTAATGAATAGCGGGGGATATATTACCTCCCCCCAATTATGCAACAATCTCGGCTCTAATGAAGTCTAAAATGTGATACAGACGCCTAATTCTCTCCCTTATTAATGAACAATTAGCTTAGGTTAGGGGTGGTTTCTAGTTATTTATTTGTATGCGTTTATAACTGTTGGTGACCTCTTTCCTTATCTAATCTTCGAGAACAAGATTAATTCTTTCTAGATATATATATATTATAAATTTAAAAAGATTAGATTTTCTTATTTTTTTTTATTATTGAGGATTATGGTAATGGTGATGCAGTCGTGGTCAATAATCTTGAAAATATAAATAGTTTTGATCAGTAATTTAATTGAACTAAAGGATATATATAAAACATAATTTGGTAGAAGTACTGCCTGGCTTAAGGCAATAAGAATAGGGAAAAATAAAAATATTATTTACATAATGTACAAAGGTTTTGAGTCGGCCATTGGGATAAAACAACAACAATGAGTTTTTATAGAGGAAGGGTGACCTCTGGCGGGCGATTTAGCAGAGTATTTGAATCTTTGAAATTATAATTTCAAATATATAAATTAATACTTTTATATAACATATATATTATAGTGATACATATAATATTTGCTGGTTCTTTTAAGTACATGGGCACTAAATAGTGTTGGTATGCGGTCGTGAAAAATCTTAAAATATAAATAAAAACATTTTAGGTCAATATTGCTTTAATTGATATGATAACATAATTGAGGATGAAATAATATCTGACTTAAGGTATGAAAAAGCAAATTATAAAATATTACGTATTTACATATCTACAAGAAGATTTGAGCCGGCCAACAGGAAACAACAACAATAGGTTTATACAAGGAAAACCGTGACATCTGGCGGTCGACTAAACAGAGTAGGGTGTGTTTGTTCTTAAATTTATAATTTTTTAGAATATAATAATTTTTATATATATATTTATTTATTGATGTTGTGGCTTTGTCACCGACCCGAGGCCGCTAGTTTGCGGCGACGGTCAATAGATGGCGTCAGTTTTTTGCGTTTATTTTGACGGGAGAAGCGCCCTATGCTTCTATATATATATATATATATATATATATATTGTGATGCACTAGCGCGCCATCTGTTATGAAAATTAGAAACTATTTTAGACGCGTAAGATTTTTTTTTTTTAATTAAACTGGCGAAACCGCTAGAAGGGTTCACCACTGATGAGCCAGGCCCCCCCATTAATTTTTCCATTGCAGTAAGGGCAGTAGAAATTTTTTAATAAAAAAAAATCTTACGCTTCTAAAATATTTTCTAATTTTCATATATATGTGATATCTTGGGACCTCTGGGACCAGTGTTACCTGATGCTAGACGAACCTCGATGTCAACTCTACCGTGCAGTCGTGGTGGAAGGCGACACAGCTGGGCCAAAGGTGAAATAAACAAACAGAGATTCCACTAAAAGCGTCTGACGTCAAGAAGGAATGGGATGAGGAGAGAGAGAGAGATCTTAAGAGCAAGTGTTACCGTTGGAATCCAAGCGAAGACTAACTATTCTAGGTCCTCGATTTAACACCACGACCTTGCTTCTTTCTAATTGGCTGACCTATTTAGGTGATTCTTTCCCAATTGGCGGGACCATGCCACGTGGCCTTTGGCTATTGGTTGACCTACTTAGGTATGGTCTTCTCTAATTGGCCTTGCGGCTTTCTTTGATGGAAGATACGTCCGGTCTTGGCCAGGAAGTACGGGGCGTTACTCGACTTTTAT